TAGCAAAATTGCAAATTGCTTCCAAAAATTATTTTTTGCAAATCATTTTTACAGTCATCTTTCAATTATCTTCATTCTCCTGAGCACATTTTCAAATGATGCTTGGTACTAGAGATGACAAAACCATGAAGAAGGCTGACAGAGAAGATTACGCGGGATTCTGTAAAGGCGGATTCCCCCAAACATCAAACCCATCCGAAAATTCCAACATTTGAGAACGATTTGAGTTTTAATTTTTTTCTGCTTGCTGATATGATGATTTTCTAGTCCAGTTGCAAATTTTCTTGGGTAATTAGAAATTACTTTTGAAGAGGTTTTAATCGTAGATATGAGATTCCATATGATTCTTTGTGTTAATATGAAAACTCCAGTGATTTTGAGAACTCTTTGTTTAATTATCATGTTGTTATGATAATTTTCGGAGATACTAGTGAGTTTGAGATTTCGTGTTTTTTTATATTTTATATTTTTTTTGGTGATAGAAGTCCTTGTTTAATTAAAGAGGAAAAAAAACGAGAAAACCTATAACATGTACAAATAAGAGGTAATTAATGCAACAAAAAACTCCACTCCTACGTGGGAATAAATAAAAAATTTTAATATGAGGGTCAACTTTGTAAATATACATTGAATCCTATTATTTGTCTAGGGAAACAAACACATCAAACAAATTATAAAGATAATCTCATTTGGGGTAAATCAAAGATAACAAATGTAAATTCCTATCTCTATAGTCTAATCTTGGATCCCTAGATAAAAATTATTTAATCCGATCTTTCTAAACAAATGTGCTCTGAAATGATGGATATGTGTATACAAACCAAAACAGGACCGGACCGCCGGTTCGACTGGTTCAACTGGGAACCGGCCACTATATCGGTTCGGTTAGTGGTATGGAACCGCTAGGTCTCAAAATCGGTCAAAAACCGTTTCAACTGGTTAAGACCGGTCAAATCGGGAGAACCGAAAGCGGCTAGACCGGCTGAGCGGTCCGGTGTTGCATTTGCATTAACCACTTAAATAGCTGATATTTTTTGTTTGTGTATCCTATTTGGGATCTACACAAACAAAGGGTTATTTTGGGCTTTTATTGCATTATTGGGCCTTATTTAATAATTGTTTAAAGAATCGGTGTTGGCACTTGGCACCTCTGTCACTCTGCCTTATTGGGCATATCTAAAGCAAATATTGAACTGAGCTCCTTATTTGGCCTTGCTATTTAGTAATTTGTCATTTACCTTATTGGAGTGATTCCTAATTGCTTTCAAAATTTATCTTACATTATAATGATATAATCACATTATTTTTTATGAAAATAATATTACTAATTAATATTGTAATATCATGTTAGCTAAAATAATTAGACTATGCTCGATTTCTTATTTACTTTTTCTTTTATTTATTTAGAAAAATGTCATTATGCACTATAAAATCAATGATAACAATATATACAATTATATATTTTATACATGTAAAATAAATAAAAAATATATATTAACTAAACCGGTTCGACCACTGGTCCGGCCAGTAAACCGTTGAACCGGTAGCTTCACCGGTTTGATGACCGGTTCGATTTCAGAACATTGATAGAAACAGAAGTGCAACAATTGCTGACATCATCTTTTTACTGTGCGAGGATGATGATGACTATACAATATACAAAGAAAACACAGGTAAAACAGGTAAAGCGTTAGAAAAAAAAATGTGTATATCTAAATTTTATATCTAAATTACCTCTTGTTTGGGCTCTATCTCAAAACCTTTTTTAAAACTTTGTTTTAAATCATTTTCTTTGAAAATTAATCATTTCATTATGGCAATAAGATAAATACAAAGTACTAAAAATCATACGTTATTAAATACTTCTTCTCTATACACAATATTTATAGTTAGGTTTTCTCGAAACCCTTTTTGTAGTAACGCGAGAGACAACGGTATATAATTGGCCATGACTAAAAACATGTCTCTTCAGAAAATAAACCAACATGGGATAAGGATTGAATCTGACTCTTGTTTATGTTTATTGCATAGGAAACATTGCCCAAATTACGATTGTTGTCTTGAGAAAAAAAAAAAAAAATGATCCAGTAACAAGAGATGGTCTACTAAATCCTGGAAAAATATAAATATTTACAATATAGGTGAATGAAAAAAATTATCTCTCTCCAATACATATAAGGAAACAACATGGGGGATTATTGGGCTGACACCTGTCTTTTTTTAACCCGAAAATGCCCTCTGCAAACGACGTCGTTTTCTCATTCTCTTTGCATAGTGTGAGAAAGTAATAACGCCAGTTTTTTTTTCTTCTTTTCGCCGGATTTTCGTCAGACGACTTTTTCTTGCTTTTGACAGAATTTCCGCACATGAAAGTCGAGATGAGACAGGAGCAGGTGAACACGTGGGAATTGGCTCAAGTAACCCATCCTACATAATTATTTGTTTAAATAACCCTTGACTAAAAAAAAAGAAAAAAAAATTAATTAAAATTAGCAATAAAGGAGAAATTACTTATACACCCGCACTATACCTTCTTCCATTTTCCCAGCTCTCGGCTCTCTCTCTATCTCTCTCGTCTCTCTCTGTCACGCTATCTCTCTCTGCTCCCTCTCTTGGCTCTCTCTCACGCTCTCTCACTCCCTCGGCTCTCTTTCTCAGCTCTGTCTCCATGGAACTCTCTATTGCCAATGTTGGTAAGAAATTTTTTTAGGGTTCATTTTTTTTTTCAGTTTTTCTTAAATTTTTTTGGTAAGGGTATAATGATGTTGAACTCTTTGTGTTTAGAATTATTTTCCAAGCATGCTAGATTTATTAAGTTGAAGAAGAAAAATGAGTTTATGTGTTATGTGTTAATTGAAGAAGAAGAATGATGGTGAAGAAGAATTGTTTGATATTGTGGTTATTTTGTATTGTATTGTGTTTAAAGAGATGAAAGTGGGGTTAATTGTTTAATATGTGTAATGCATGAAAGTGAGGTTAATTGTTGAAATGCTTGAAGGATTGAGTTGGTGAATTGTGCACTTTATGTGTTTGATGAAATGCTTGTAAGGTGAACTCTATGTGTTTGATTAAATGATTGTAGGATTGAGTTGATCAACTGAAAATAACGAGACTTTTATGTTTGTAATGTAATATATAAAGAATGTACATTTGTTATAGGAATTGTGGAAACGACTATATTCTTGTAAATGAAAGAGAAGGCTTGGGTGGTATATTTTGTGCCATGTGGAGACCTTACATGCTGAGTCATGTTATGTGTGCAATCTTGCTGTATATGTTTATTTTTAGGCTAAGTTTTAGTTTTGGTGGACTTAACCTATTGGATAAAGTTTGAAAAATATTGGCTCTATGTTGTGTTAAGACTTTGTTGTGGCTTTTAGAACCTAGTATCCAAAATGTTCCTTATCTTAAATCGTCTTTGTTTAAAAATATAAAAAAAGAGGTAAATTGGCATGCTTCCTATTGTTTTGTTCGCAACGTATACATGTATGGTGTATCTCTTGAATTGATGTAAGTTAAGGATTTTAGCATTGTGTCATAGGTTATTCTTCTAAGTTTCAATTTGTAAGAGAGGTGCATGTTGAGTAGTATTTGACCTTGTTAGAATGAAATATTTTAAGGCTGTTACATGTATGAGTTTTTATAAGCCAATATTTAGTCAAGCTTTAGTTTAATAGCATGCTTTAAGGTTGTTAAGTTCAAAGAATAAAAGAAGCTCGTTATAGAATAAAGAATCGTTTTATTAGTATCCTTTATAAATGAGTTAACTTATAACTTTAATGAGTAAAATATCGTCATAATGTATTATATTGTGAATGTATAGGTGTATTTAATTGACCGAGATAAAAATATACCTAAAATGAAGATTCATTTGTGATGGTGTATGAAATAACGAATGTACATTCTTATCTATTAAATTAAAACCAATAACGAGAGTACTTTACAACAATTGTTATAGTAATTTTGGAAACGACATTATATACCTAATTTAAGCTCCTTGTTTGATCTATTTAAGTTCAGTGTTAGTACTTATTGCTTGTTTGATCTATTATGACTTATGTTGTCTTTCTTTTCTTTTTTTAGGAACCAAAAAGGAATATACGTTTGAGGGAAAATTTCAAAACTAGTCCCACAGTTATAGGGGGGTGACAATTTTGGTCCCAATGGAATGCAGAAAATATGAATAGTCCCACAACTTTTAAAAAATGATCAAAAGTAGGACTTTTTCGCCGGATTTACTATTTCCGGCCCGGAACGCCACGTGGCATCCGACGTGTTCATATTTTTTTACAAGTTGTGGGACTAGTTTTGAATTTTCTGCATTCCATCGGGACCAAAAATGTCACTCCTCTAAATTTGTGGGACTAGTTTTGAATTTTTTCCTATCTAGGAAAAAATTCAAAACTAAGCCACGTGTGCACCATGTGTGCGCCAGCATGTAAAGAATAAGCCACGTGTGCGCCACGTGGCGTTCCGGGCCGGAAATAGTAAATCCGGCGAAAAAGTCCTACTTTTGATCATTTTTTAAAAGCTGTGGGACTATTCATATTTTGTGCATTCCGTCGGGACCAAAATTGTCACCCCCCTATATCTGTGGGACTAATTTTGAATTTTTCCCATACGTTTGATATACCTTCCAAATGCAAACGGTTGAAAAGTGCTAACTACAGTGCTGAAAACTTTGATTGGAAACAATTGACATCTCCTAGCCAAAGCAATGGGTACGTATAATATATATTTTGATCATATTAGGTTTTTAAGTGTATTATGAAACTTGGTAAAGTAATAGAATTTGTACATTTATGTTGTAGGTTTGATTGTGGGATGTTTACAATCAAGTTTATAGAATTTTTGCATGCTGGGAAGAATGTTGAAGGCGTAGATCAATCTTGGATTAGTGCTTGGCGTGTAAAACTAGCGGCTGAAATATTTGGTGCTCATTTTGATCCATAGTTTGTTTTAAACATTCAATATGTAACGGGTTGTAGGGATCTTTTGGATAATACATTTTTGTATTATATTTCATGTGTTTTTCAATGCAATGATGCGGTGGTCGATTTTTTAAGTTATATTTTTTTAGTACTTTCCAATGCAGTGGTTATAATAGTATTTCATCAAAATGGTTAAAAATATTACTGTAACGAGAAGTTTTAATGTAATAAATAACGACGGGGTTCGATGCCGAGCTCCCGAAAATAAGTCGAGGAACCAATTACAAGTCGTTTCAAAAATAACAAATGTACAGTCGTTATTTTTTATGAAATAACGAATGTACATTCGTTATTTTGAAAAAATAAAAATAAAACTGGCTTGTCGCTGGCGTTACGTCCGTCGCGGCCGCGTCGTCCTGGCAACCTGCTCTGTCTGACCAAGAACAGGGCCCAGTGTCGCGCACGCGACACATGTCGCGACTGTGACATA